GAAATAATAAAGATATTGAATAGTTACTTGTAAATTATCCAATTTTTGAAACTATAAATTCACCTTAATTCAATATAGAATTTATCATATCAAATTTCAGAGATAGTTAATAATTAATTTTAGAAAAAAATAAGCTATTTGGCTATATAGTAAAGCAACCCAAATCATTAAGTGGTTAAATATTTACTAGAGATAAATTAGATCCTAACTTAAATTATATTTTTAGATGTAAAGTCAACAAGAATTTAAATTGTCAAAATTTATAATTTGGAATAATGAATAGGTAAGAAATACATAATAAATTCTTATATGTAGAAAATTGTTGCTTTCACACAAGTGTCAGTGGATATGGTTTAGATAAAATATTAAAAGGAAAAAACTTATATGAAGTGAGATAAGAAATAAATGAATTAGAAATTAGAGTTAATATTTCTAAGAGAGTTTTATTATTTATGGACTATCCAAAATATTAAAATATAAATAAACTTGATGAGTCTAAAATAATATAAGACAAAAATTATAGCTTTGGAATAAGCTTTTGTGTTCCAGGTGATGATTATAATATTGAAATAGAAACAATTTTAACAGACGATAAATATTTAGAAAACTTTGATTAAAAATGATAGAAATCAAGAAGAAAAATATATGAATTATTGAATAAAAAGAATTAATAAAAAGTTAAATTTTAAAATAATTAAATTTAAAAAATAAAAAAATAGACATTTAAAATTATAAAGGTATTTATTTATTTAGTTTAAATATTTATATTTATTTACAAAACTTAATATTTTATAACACCATTTTAGTTTTTATTTTACGACTTTCAAATTTGATCTTATTTTTTGAAATTAATTTAAAACAAATAATTTATACTTAAATTATAAAAAATATTTAATTTATAAAACAATTTAATAATTTATTCAATTTATTGTAAAAATATTTTTCTTGTTTTATTTTTATATTTCCCATTTCTAATTTTTAATAAAATAATAATTCTAAAAAATTATAAAAAAATTGTAAATTATATTTTACATAGAATTAATTATGGTAAATAATTATTTAAATTCGTTTTAAATGAATATGTTGTTTAAATTTTATGAATTGTGTGCAAATATGAAAAATTAAATAACAAAATCTCTTTTAAAAATCATAAATTTAATTTTTAAAAAATTAATTTTTTTAACTTAAGACACTTGCTTTTAATTTTCAATTTTTGTGATTCTTCAATTTGATTGAGGCTTTAAATTATTTTAACAAAAAATAAAGCAATAAAATAATAATGTAAAAAATTAAAATGTTAATTAAAAACTAAAAACAAAAGTAAAAATTAATTGATTAATAAATTAAAAATCTCAAAT